TCACAGCCCACTCACAGCCCACTTCCAGCCCACTCACAGCCCACTCCGAGTGTCATCTTACCTGCCGTCACAGTCACACACCTCCGTCCAAGATCTCTGTGTTTGCCGTATGTTTGTGCTCCTTCTCTTGCCCCCTCCTTATATATGCCCCTGGTCTAATCCCCCAACACGCCACTCATCTGTAACCCACCGTCACCCAATCCCATAATCAGCCCCCGTGCTGTGGTGGATTAGAGAGTGTTGGTGTCAAACATCGTGACAGGTGGTTCATCTGTGACCTTACATAATTAGCCGTCAGAAACACAGAGATTAGAACTCTGTTTTTGGTTGTTGTTGTTTTCACTGGTCCATCAACAACAACCACTCAACATTTTCATCCCTACTTTTCAGCCTCAATCTTTTATTACATTTATTTTTTAATTCCTATTTTCACACTCCTGGTTGGAGTTTCTTCTTAACAACTAGAAATTCCTCTTTTCCTAACTCTAGTCTTCTCTCAGTGAAGAGTTCCTCTTTGTAGCTTGATTGTTAATCGTCGTCTTTGGACAAAAGCTTCAGCTCAATGCATGAATGTAAAGAATGGATGTATTTGTGTCAAATTAAATCTTTCCGAATTTTTGTTGTCAGTTTTCCTTTATAATTTAATTTAATTTAATTTAATTTAATTTAATTTAATTTAATTTAATTTAATTTAATTTAAAATAATTTAATTTAATTTCTAAGGATTTTCTTTTATTATAGACAATCTTCTTATTGCCTTGTTCTCGTTCTGGTTTGATTCTCTCTCATATCTGTCGCATTGTTCCATTTTTGGCTTTGACTCTTCAGTTGTTGATTCCTATTCCATTGCTTACTTTTGATTCTTGATTTTAGTACATTTTTATTTTTATTTTATATACATATATGTTGTTCAACACAAGATCACCAGAGGAGATCAGGGATTATAAAATGATGAACTTCTAGGTTTGTTCTTTTGAACCATTTCTAACCTCTGGTTCTGTCCTTGACCTCTGGTTCTGTTCTTCTCCGTGTGGACGACTCGGAGCTGACTGACTCAGGGATCTTTATCTGTCAGTGTTCGTCTGAACTGATCCTGAGGTGAACGACGTCACAGCTTTTCTTATATCTGTAAATAAACTGTTTATTTATAACATAGTGTTCAGAAATAGTCCTTGAATCACTGAAGACAAATGAAGGTTCCAAACAGATGAGTTTAAAACATTTTCATATGTACTTCCTGGTTTATTCTGACTTGTGATGTCATAGAGTAGAATAGTCTTTGTTGTCATTGTAACACGGGGGTACAATGAAACTGAGGTGGAAAAAATGTCATCTGGTGTTGTGCAGTTTTTGTGTGATTTTTTTTAATATAATATTTAGTGTATTACTTGTATGATTTGTGTTTTTTTTAGTTGTTGAAACGATTTCCAATGAAAATATTGGATTTGAAGGGAATTTTTCTCTAAGAAGAAATCAGTAGATGTTTTGTGATTTTAAAGATAAATCACAGTATTGTTATTAAATATATATTTACATGTATTTATACAGTATTTATATATAGGTATGTGTGTGCATGCCTGCATGTTTCAGTGTGTATATTTACTCTTTACTAATCATGATAGTAAAATTCATATATAGCAGATTTCCTTTTGTTTTGTCTGTGTGTTTACATACTTCTAATTTTACCATTTTTTACGGCAACAAAAACTCGATGTTAACGTTACGTGTCATCCACTTCTCTGTGTTTGTGTGTTGCTTCTGTTACAGAAAACACAAAAGTCGTTCGTCTCTGGGAAAATATAAACATTTATTTCTCACTGACGTTCTGGTTCGACGTTTCCTTCCAACAAAATAAATCCCTTTCATTACTATTGTTAAAAAGCTTGGGTCGGGGAGACAAGGCAGGGGTGAGTCAGAGGGTGAGGAGCGAACGGTAAAGTGCATTCATCAGGTAAAAGTGCTGGGTTTTTGTTCAAATCTCTTCATTTGGAAGTTTCCTTTTACTAAAGCACTCAGGCAGCAGACGTTTAACAGTTTAACAACACGTGGCTCGTGTGTCTACGGGTGGACGAGGACCAGGGTCAGAGGAACAGGGACTAAACTATTCCATATTTGGCCAGGTCGCTCAGCTCCATGTCCCCGAAGGCTTCCCATGGGCAGACCACGGTGATGTCGGTGCCCAGACCCTCCATGCCGGGAATGTCGTCTCCGAATCTGAGGATGGAAAAGTCAGAGTGAGAAAGTGTGAGTCGTAAAGAGATTTTTAAAATATTTTTTCAATGTTGATCTTGACTCCTCCTCACCCCTTCTGGCCTGGTTTGGGAGCCTTGCTCTTGAAGGTGCGAGCAGTCCTCTGCTTGAATTTGGGCGGTGCCCTCTTGTCGACCGGAGCTGCAACGGCTACGTCTGCCATTTCGAGTGATTACTGGTCACAGAAACACAGAGACAAACAAGATCAAAATCTGTTTTTTACTCTAACATTTGGGACTTTTCTGTTTTTAAGCTAAGTATTCCTGAGCTGTCACTGCTGCAGACTGGCTTTATTTTTAAAAAGCAGCTGATATTTGACTTGACAGAGGAAAAACACAAAAATATGTAGCCAGACTAAGAAGAATGGTCTTACCTTCTGCAGAGGTTCTGAGTCTGAAGTCTGATGTGCGGTCAGTTTCTGCTCTGTGATGGTCCTCTCCTGCCGGACTCCTTTTTAAAGTCCTCTGATTGGCTAATCCTTGTCGGCCTGACGTGCTGTGATGTGATGTGCCAGTTCTTCACCAGATTAACTTTAATTAGAGGCGGTGAGAACAACAAGACAGAAATAAAAGGAGTTTTCACAGTTCAGACGTACACGTGAATAGACGTAGATGTGAATAGACATCACTGAGTTGTTCTCGTTCATTTAGTTTTGAATTCACAGCAGGTTTAATAACTCCTACCTATAAATGCTAGGAATTAAACCACCTTTAGGAAAAGAACTGTTTTGATATATTTTTAAAAAAAATTCAGAATTCAAAAAGTTTAGAAACATGAAGTGTTGGTTGGAATCTGCACCGAGTGAATCTGACAATTTATATTTGAAGAAAAAACTACAGGAAGTTGTCGAGTTGCCAACAAAACAAAATTAAAATAAATAAATAAATGGTATAACACAACCAATGGTTTTCCAACATTTACATTTGAAGAACACTTCCTTAATAGTTATTCACTGTCTACATCTTCAGGGGTCACCACAGCAGACGTACGTTAAATGCCCAATGGGGTCAGGCTGTGAAGACTTGATGTTAAACTGACTCATGTTGTTGTCTTCACTGGAATCTGGAGCAGCTGATGTAAGAGCAGAGACACACTGTGTTCTCTGGTTATCTCATTGGCCACTTAGTGACAAGTAGAGATCACTTAACCTTTGACCTCCTGATCCTCACCTCAGGAGATTCTGCTCTGAAGTTGAAAACACAGAGTGAAAAGAACACGTGTTTGTTTGTGTTTCGTTATATTTTCATTTAACACAGAAGATTCAAATGAACAGACAGCGTTACAGATCAGATCCCTGTCCTCGTGTCTCCTTGTGTCTCCTCATGTCTCCTCGTGTCTGTCTTCTCTAGGAATTCCCAGACTTTCCCAGACCAGCTGAGATAAGACCCTGGAGTTCCATCCTGGTTGGACGGACCTGTGAGTCCAGGTGAGTCAAGTTCATCACTGGGAAAAAAAAACTTTTATACTAGAAAATACTTGTACAACTGCAGTAATCCATGTACAACACTACAGCTAAGGATCCATCCGTCCATCCATCCATCCATCCATCCATCCATCTCCCTTGTTGTTCTCTGACATCTGAGGCTAACCCTAACCCTAACCCTAACAGACAGAGTTATTCTTCCTGGAGATTTTCTGTTGTCACAGTGGTTTGGAAACAACGTCTGATAAAAGTCTGAACGGCTTCAAAGTGAATGTTTTTAAAGAATCCTTCAGAGGAGCCGTTCACTGCAGCTTTGGTTCCAGACAGTTGTAAATATCTCTAAAATTATCTTCCTCTGTCTATTTTTACCCTCTGGCAGTGGGATTAGACTCTGAAGAGACACAGAAGTCAGCGTCGCCTCTCACTTGCCTCATTCTGTATCTTTCGTGATTGGTTTAATTCAACACATAAATAAATGTGGTGTAAACTTGATTCCATTCACCTGTATTCTTTCCTTCGGCCACAGCAGAAGTTTCTGTCAGTGTAGTTGCCATGTTGTGACCACAGGACCTGGAGCTCTGCTCTGACATGAAGCTCAGAGTCTCACAGTGGACGAACTGGCATTTACAGGCTTTAATTGGATTATATATGTGGACCTGGGGACGGGATGGGGGACGGGGGGGACACTGCAGACACGTCAGACTTGTCGTCCATCATGAGAACAGGCCAGAAGAAATCTGTGCACATTTTATTTGGAGATGTTTGATTTACATAAAATAAAACTAAAATCCAATTACACTGTAAATTCTTTCCATAAACATTAATATTAGTCTAAAAACTCATTGAGAAAAGACTGTTGTCTTGTTGGTTTCCTTAAACTAATTCCAGTGGTAGAGAGCTTCATCACCATCTGACTTTATCAACAGAAATCTACAACGTGGTGAAAACACTCCCACACAGTGGACACCGTACCTGTGACACAGGATTATCTGGCCCTCACACGTCAGTGTAATTTTGCATTAGCAGAGCATCAGTGAAGCATCAGCGTCAGTGGAGCAGCAGAGAGAGGATCAGCAGCTGCTGTGAGGCGTTCACACGCACAGGGCTGTGTCAAAGATTAGCCAGCTTTAGGCTTGTGTAACTGGTGAAAAACACTGATGGACACTGACCAGTCCATCAGCCCATCAGTCCATCAGTCACCTGGTTCACCTGGATTACATCAGTAATCTGTCCCATCAACACTCTCCTCTGCACCAACATGTAGGAACATATTTAAAAAGTTTAAAGAAATACATTTATCCATCCATCCAGCCATTAACAACATACTCCAACAGATTATTCCCATTTTTCTACATTCTCCAAAAAGGAAATTCTAAAACAGTTAAATTAAAACCATGACAAAAATGTCCGTCCAGTGTGAGCTTCTAAAAATGACTTTGTTTATTCACAGCAGGAGCTAAATGAGCAGCTGGGCCTGTCATCGGACACTTTGGACGTAAAAGTACTTTGTTACTACAATCAGAGTCAACAGTTGTCTCATGTACAACCACAGGTGTGTAAAATGGAGTTTTTGAAGTTTTGGTCAGTTTTTCCTCACACGTTTGTCTCGTAGACATTCCCTGACGTTTTACTTCTTAAATAATTGTGCGGAGTCACATCTACCTGCCGGCTGTCGCTGCCGCCCCAGAGGCAGACCAAGTGTTTGTTCAGTGAGTCGGTTTATTTTCAGACGTCCTCTGCTGAAGAGGTGTCAGCATTGTGACGTCTGCGTGTGCATCCGACTGAAGTCATGAGTCTGTGACGTTAATCTTGTCCTAATTTACACCTTCAGTGAAGTCCCTGAGCCCCCTGAGAATACCACCCACCCACACACACACACACACACACACACACACACACATGCAAGTCATATCTGCAAACGAGGTCAAAGCGATCTCAGCTTTAAGATTGTTTTATTTCAGAACTAAATATTTATGGATGGTTGTGTGTAGTAACAGAACAGTTTGTAGGGATGGAGTTGTTTTGGTTTTTTTGGACTTTGGTTTAAGGCTTAAAATAAACGGTGGTCACCTCAGGTACTGACCCGTCTAACTTCTTAAAACAGACAGAAGAAGGATTCCAGCGTTTGAAATCTAAATTGATTCTTCTACTTTATTTGCATCTTCCGTGATCCGCGTTTTAAAAGCAGAAAGTTTACAGAGTTCACTCTGAAGTGGAATTGTCCTTAAAGGCTCAATTGTATTTTGGTCCGTGTTTTCCTTCTCTGTGGTCGTCTAAATCGTACGACCAGCTGCAGCCCTCAGACAACTCTCTCTGCGCGGGAACACAAGGTCAGATGTGACACAGAAATAAAGTCACTTTTTTAGGCGGCGCGTTATAAATGTTCCCGTTTCAGACGTGTTTTGATTTTCATTTTCACAGCTAGAAAAATAGGATGACATTCAAGTGGTCGGCGTGGAAGTTTGAGGTCTCGTTTTCAGTTCTTCAATATCTGTCATGCTGCAATCAATCCATCAATCAATCAAACATCATTTTCATTGTTTGTTTGTTTTTTAATATAAATAAGAGTCCAAAGTGATCCCTAGGGTAAAATGGCAAAAAGAAACCAAACCAAAAAAAACACTGATTTGATTCATGAAGCACAAAAACTTAAGGCTCATAAATAAAGACAAAGGGAAACAAAAAGGAAGGAAAAAATTGGGAATTTATAAATGAATGAAATGAAAATTCAAATTGTTAAATTAAAAAGATAAGACAGGAAATCTAATACAATTCTAAACACAATCAACAAATATAATGAAGTTGACATTAAAATTAGTTAGATCAGCTTTCAACTGTCCACTATCTATTTATGTTACATATACATACATACAAATGGATGGATGGATGGATGGATGGATGGATGGATGGATGGATGGATAGGTTTTCAGTCTGACACTGTCTCCTCTCATCCCAGACAGTTCATTTGATAGGAACTGTTTCCCTCCTGTGGTGGAGGGACAGAAATGCAGCTCATTTATTCTTTGGTTTCCTCACTGGTTATTTGACTTCCTGAGGTTGGACAGTGAACTTCACCACGGCAGATAATTCTATAAAATCGAAATCCAAATACTATGGTGGGGGGCGTTATCCAGTGTGAGGAAATCACCCAACATTCTGTTTGTCCTCATTTGTCCTTTGCTGCAGACACCTGCCACCTGTCCCACACTGACACGTAAGCCAACGTCCTCTCACCCCAACTTATCATCAACACCTTGCTGGTTCTCACGAAGCCTCCAATCACATCAGAGCGGTGGTGCAGCGGCTGCCATGTGGCAGGGAACCCAGGCAGGAGAGAGGGGGCGCCACCCACTGAGCAGAGTGCAAATCGCGTTTGAGGTCG